CACTACCATTATGTTTAGGCTCTGATTTGCGGCCTCCTGCCCAGCCCAAACTCCTGTTACTGAGAGCAAGGACTGAAAGAGAGAGGGGTCCTGCCACACCCCAAAACCAGCTGCACAGCAAGCCAGGCTAAGTGGGAGTTCCTCTAATCAGATAGGCAGGGGGTGGCAGAGAGAGGTAGCATAATTGGTCAGATCCCCCAGGGAGAAGTTCCAAAGAAGTGGAGACATGAGGGGAGGCCTAGGGTAGGGCCTCTTATAGGCAGGCCTCAGGGCTCCCTCAGGGTAAGGAACGTTGTGTAGACCCCATTTCTTTTCTGACTCCAACCTGGGCTGTGCCTAGGGATCTCAGCCCCCTACATTATGCTAAATAGGTAATCAAACATTTCACTTTGCTAATTACTGCTCAATCCGATTAAACGCTGCTGAAGCTCATCAACAGAGGTGGAGGTAGGGGGAAGGGATGGAGTGGGGCCAACCACAGCTGTGATGGGGTCTCCCCAGGGGCTGTAGGGGACAGCTGAGAAACAGACTTGGTAACAAAACTTGTACCAGTAGGACTCTTAGTCTTACCGCATCCTCCCAGCCTCAGCCTGGTCCCTCCTCCCAGAACCTTCATTACCCTCAGAACCCAGGCATCCGGCCATTCCCACAGCTCCCCACACACACCCCTGTCCCAGCTTTAATAAGTTCTGTTCTCTCACTGTCAATATTTGATTTCTCAGAGCCATCTCCACGGAGAGAGGGGAGCTCTTCCCTTGCTTCCCCCCTACCTTGGCCCTCTTTTGCCCACCCCAGTCTCTTTGTGCCCCCAACCTTCTCTGAACTAGCTGACAATGAAATGATATTAAAGTCTTAAGCAACTCCAAAAGAATGGTTGTTATGGTGAGGGGAGTGGGCAGGACGCCTGGGTCCCTGAGGGGAGCAAGGGCTAGGGAGGGGGAGAGTGGGCCCCAGGCTAAGGTCTGGAGGCCCCAGTCCCCAATGGGGAGCAACAGATTTGAGGTGAGCTGGGGGCCAGACCTCTGGATCTTGATGGGAAGCAGGGAGTGAGGGCTGGGGGTTAGGAGAGGTGGGAAGAGAGGACATTTGGGGGTGGAAATCACAGCCTGCTGTCCAGAGCATCTGTCAGGGATGGAGAGGCTAACTGGGGAGGAGGGGGCGTGTATAGACACGGCCTCTGTGCCAACAGCCTCCCTGCTGACTGTGCCCTGGGCTGGTCCGTGAGAACCAGAGTAGATTCCTCTTCATCCCTGACTCATCCCTCTTCCCCTTTATCCCCTCCCAGCAGACCCCCACAGGTGATTTGTAGCTGATGCCCTCATGATGGTAGGAGCCAGGAGAGAGTCATTCCATGACATGAAGAGCTGAGAGCTTCCAGGAGAGGAGAGAATAGAGGCCCAGGGATGGGAAGCCAAGCACCACCCCCCAACTCCCCCGACCCATCCCCATCTCACTCCCCTGGGGACCCTGGCCCAGCCCCAGTCCCCTTGGGGTGGTGGGAATGCAAGGACATTTGGCTGGGGCTGATTGATGAGGGAGGAGGCAGCCACTGGGCACTGAGGCTGCTGTTTGCTGAGCACACAGATTCCTCCCCACTCACCAGCTGCCGCCCCCTGAGGCTGCTCAATCTCCCCACCACCAGCAGCCACTGGGGTTGAAGGGAGCTGATGCCTAAGTTTCTGATGGGAGTTTGGGGAAGCAAGCAGAAGGCCCATACCCCGAATGCTTTGATTCCCTGGGGGACCAGGGGGACCTGGGACATGGTCCCCATGGAACTCCCTTCAGGACTTCACTTTCCCTGCTACCTTCCAAACTTCTGCTGCCTAATTTTCACTCCCATTTGTACGGCATCCTTTTTCCTACCCCCCACTTAACTGTCTGAGTCCATCCTAGCCAGCCTCTAGCCTTCAAACCACCCGGCAACATTTCTCCCAGCCTGTCTACAGATCGGGAAACTCTCCCTGGGGAATGGGGTGCCCATGTTTGTGATTTCCTGTGGAGCCCCATAGGAAGCTCCATATTTTCATTCTCACTGAAATTCTAGTTTATGATGTCAACCATTCCCCACCAGAAATTCCCACTGCAACCCTTTGCTCTATTCTCCTTAAAAACCCCAACATAGCCTGGCCGGCATGGCTCAGTGGTTGAGCATTGACCTATGAACCAGGAGGTCACGGTTCAATTCTGGTCAGGGTACAAGCCCAGGTTGTGGGCTTGATCCCCAGTGAGGGGCGTGCAGGAGGCAGCCCATCAATGATTCTCTCTCATCACTGATGTTTTCTATCTCTCCCTCTCCCTTCCTCTCTGATATCAATAAATATATTTTTTAAAAACACAAAACCCCAACATAAACCACATTCACAAACACACATACTGCAACCTTCTGTACCACCAGCCATACCACAGCTTCCAAGAAGCTCAGAGCACCATCCTTGCCCTCCCAGAGCTTAAAATTTAGTTGAAGAAAATGCAACTCACATACACAGAAGAAACAAAATGGGGAGGGAGGGGGATAGAAGACTGAGTTAGAGCAACTTCTTAAATGTGGATTCTAGACCCTAAAGGACCTACAGGCTGGGGAGGGACAAGACCCACCTGGAGTACGTGTGAGGTTGTGATGTCATCCTCCCTATTTCCAAACGCATCTAGAGTTTACCTCTGTGCTTCGCACTTGCTGTTCCCTCTGTTGGGTACGACTTTCCTCCTACCGCATGCCTGACTCCACGTTATACGAGGCCCTCATGAAATGTCAGCTCTTCAGCCTAGCCGGTATGGCTCAGTGGCTGATCGTTGACCAGGAACCAATAGGTCATTAGTTCGATTCCCAGCCAGAGTACAAGCTGCCAGCCAGTTCGATTCCCTGTTGCGGGCTCAATCCCCAGTAGGGGTACATGCCGGAGGCAGCCGATGGAGGATGTTTCTCTCTCTGCTCGATGTTTCTATCTCTCTATCCCTCTCCCTTCCTCTCTCTGTAAAAATCAATAAAGACATTTTTCTAAATGTCACCTCTTCAGCGAAACCTTCCTGACCTCCTGATCTAAAACATCTTGTTACCCTCCATCCTCTTCATCCTGTTTTGTTTACATCATTTATCACTACCAGAAGTGTTATTACGTTGTTCCCAGCCAAAATCCGGACTTCATGAAAGCAGAGATTTATTTACCATATATACTCCCAGTATCCAAAACAGGACTTGGAACAAAGTAGACACTTAATATGATGTTGAGTGAATGAACGAACGAACGAACGAATGCCTTCCTGCCTTTCTATTCGTTTTATTGTAATTGCTACCCTAGGAGAGTGTGTATTCGTACCCAGAAAGCAAACAGGATGGCACGGGAGGAAAATCACCAGCACTTTCAAGTAGCTCCAAAGGCACACAAGTCACTACACGTGTGGAGGCTAAAGGTGTTGTGTTCATGTTGGGGGGCCGGGGGGAGTCTACAGATACCAGCGCTCCAAGGGGGCGGGTCCCCGGGTGCTCTGTAGAATTTGCTGTTTCTCTCTCCAGCTGTGCATCTGTCCCCAGGTGTCTTCCTATCTCTCAGCATGTTATGATGTCTCCCCCGCTTCGGTGAGGTGCTTGTTTGTCTCAGAGGAGGTTTATTCTGCTTCCCTTCCCTTTTGTCTCTCCACCTGTGTCTCTAGATGTATGTGTAGGGGGAGTCTCCCTCAGCTCCCTTGCCCCCTCTCACACACAACCCTGCCCCAGTCTTGGACCCCTCCCTTTCTCACTGGGCCCTGTTGCTGGGCTCTGGGTTGCCATAGTGACGGTTGCCAAGTCCCTGAGGCTGATAGCCAGCGATGGGGCTGTCGGCTCCATCCACGAGGGAGGCTGAGGGGGGCTTCCCGTTGTGTGAAAAAGGGGATGTTGCCGTGACAACAAACCCCCACTAAGGGGCAAGGGACCAGCCCTTCCACACCCCTTCAAGCCTCCCCACCTTAGGCAGCTCCAGTGTGGGCTTGGAAGGCAGGGAGTACATTCCCGACAGCCCAGCACCTGGCTTCCCAGTTTTCAACTTCCCTAACAGTGCCTGCACCTCTCAGGATCCAGGCATCTTGCTCAGACAGGGGAAGGAGCAGGGGTCCCACTGGACAGAGGAGGGGCAAGAGGACCCCTTGACCTCCAGGCAGATGGGAGACAGCGGGAGAGGACCTAGAGTCAGAGGAGGGGTAGGGAGGGCAGAGGTTGTGACCCCTGCCAACCAGCTCCAATGAAGTTCCTGACGGCTGCTTTTGTGATTGGAGAATGGGGCTGAGTCTAGGGGGCTGGGCACCTGGGCTTTTTAGGGGAGAAGAGCCTAGGTTGTGGGTACACAGGGAGCCAGGAGACAGACAGCTTGAGTCTTCTGGGCAGCCACACCCCTCCTTCCTCAAGTAAAACGCCCCATGTCAGAGGTGCCTTGGGCAGGGATGATGGAGAATAGACTAACGTGAACATTGTTTTCCCACTTTGTTTCTGTGATTTGCCTTGTCCCGGGCTTTGGTTTAGCAATAGACACCCAGACTTTCCCCATGTGGGAACTCACAGTCACATACATCCCCATCAGATGCATGGGCAACTCCTTCACCTGCCTGGGTTCCTCTCCCCCCCGCCCCCCCTTGCCCCCCACACTCCCCACACCCCCGCTTCCCTTCCCTTGGTGGCTGCCTTCCTCAGCCTTCTCACCCCGCCCATTCTCCCCTCCCCAGACACTGCCTACCTCATCCCACCAACCCAACCCTCTCCCTACCCTTCCCCTTGGTTTCATGGAGCTTGAAAGCCATTGTAACCACTAATTCTCTGTTCCAATTCATGTCCAGTCATTTCCAGCCTTGTTAACTTTTGAAGTTTTTTATTCTTTTTTTGGTTTTTGTTGTTCAAATTTCCCTTTTACAATAAAACTATTGAGATGACAGCCATACCCCGCCACCTCCCGCATGGCAACAGCAGCTTCCTGTTCCCTGGATGGAGCAATTAGAAAAATCAGGAAGGAGCCGGGAACTACAGCAGAGCGATGACTTGACATCCGGTGGACCAAGCAACCATGTTGGCTGGTGATTGAGGTGGCGGACTTGGTGCCCAAGGGCAGCTCTGGTCTAATGAAACTGAGCTGGGAGGAAACTGAGGGAACACCCACTTGTGTACTGGAGGGCAGGAAGAGGTATAAGCTGGTCACTATGGAACAGTGGCAGTTGCTAAGTGCCACTGTCAGCTAGACCAGTCAGTAGGCCACCATTCTGGTCACTAAGAAGGGAGCTGTGTTGAATCTGAAGAGAGTAGGAAATGGAGGATGTGATGAACAAGACAGCCAGCTGGGCTACTGGGGGACAACACGGGGGTTCTTGGGGTAGTCCTGTTGAGTGACAGATTATACTGAAATGTGGACAGGGAAGAACAACAAGACAAATTGGGCCTACCACAGCATATGGCAGTCATCTTAGCTGTCTTCGAAGTAGCACAGAGAACAAAGGAAGGGAGGTCCTGGGAAATGCCACTGCATACTAGGAAAATCCTCCTCAGTAAGGACTGTCCTGCTCCCCTTCTCCACAGAGTAAGAACCATCCACCTCCCTCCCTCCCACCCCCCAGACTAAGTCACTTGAGTTCCAGCCAGATGAAGGCACTTCCAGTTCCTGCTGCACTGCTTTTGCCACTTCACCAGGCCACTTCTGTCCAGGCCTGGTCATTTCTTGTCTGGAGCAAATCACTTCCTGTCCCAAGTGACCCATTCAGCATCAGACCAAGTCCATATGTGTCCCAACCAGTTCGCATCTTGTGATTGGCCACTGGACAAACAGGGTACTTCTCATGGAGGCTGTCATAACCCAACCACCCCAAAGGCTGGAGTTAAGTGTGCAGAGGCCTGGGGCAGGGCAGAGAAGAGGGCCCTGCTGCCCATGCCCTGAGGTGGGGTGGACTGCCAGAGCGTTCCCCATAAGGCCCCCATTTTTGGCAGATTGAGGGGAGTGGTTGACAAGAGGTCAGAAGAGGGAGCTGAGGGGAGAAAAGCTTTGATTGCCCCCACCCAGGAGATGGAAGAGGCACAGGATAAGAAGCCAAGAGGGTAAAAGGAGATGTAGGGAGGGGGATGCTAGGGAAGAGGAACAGACCTAGAGACGGAAGAGAGAAAGAGAACGAGAGAGAGAGAGAGAGAGAGAGAGAGAGAGAGAGAGAGAGAAAGAGAAAGAGAGAGAGAGAGAGAAGAGAAGAGAAGAGAAGAGAAGAGAAGAACAGTGAGAGGCAGAAAGAAAGAGGTGCCAAGCAAAAGACAGACTGTTCCCGCCCCTGGCTCTCAGTAGGTATGGGGAGCAAGCATCCCTGGGTCATCAGAAGAGGCAGCTGGTCTCTGCCTCCTCCCCAAGGGAATAGGACACGGGGACACAGACAGAGAGGGCACACGTGGCCAACCACAGGGCAGGAAGTGATTCAGTGAAAATCTTAAGGAATCCTACCAGTAGAGAAGAGGGCAACAGCCAGGAGGAGTAAAGAGGCTGGAGGGGCAAAAGGGGCCAAGGAGATGCCAGAGGTGCTCCTCCAACCATGAATTACACGGAGGAGCACCGCAAGGAGGGCTGGATCCGAGAGAGCCAGGTGGGCGGAGCCCTCATACCTTGTAGTAGATGTTCGGAGGGCTCTGGGGGGGCCCATCCTGCACGATGTACACAGGATGCCCATAGTCACCACTCACCTTCTCATAATGGGGACAGAAGGGGGGGTCTGCAGCCCCACTGCCCCGAAGAGCTATCCCTAGTTCCCCAGGCTCAGCCTCCCTAGGTCCCATCCCACCTCCACCCCCCAGGCCCAGAGACCCTCCCCTCCCAAAGGAGCCAGGACCAGGGTGGCGACTCTCCGAAGGCTTGGCCCGCCGTCTCCGCCAACACATGGCACCCCCAGCCCCTGCCACGCCCAGCAAGAGCAGCGCCAGCCCCCCAGCTGCCCCGGCCACTGCGGGCATGCTGGGAGGAGGCAGGGGGCCTTCAGCACCCCGGGAGGTTGCATTGCTGGTGGGGTCACCTGGCAGGGAAGGGGTGAAGGAGGAAAGAGGGGAAGGGGCTGAAGGAGCCACCTGGGCATCTGGCAGCCAGCCTTGGGGCCCATGGGCTTCCAGTGCACAGGCCCCTTGGGGACCCCAAATCCCCTCCACCCCTCCAAGCCCAGCTCCGAATCCAGGTGTGTCCAGCCCTTCCACTCTGTGCCAGAGTCCTCCCCACTTCTCTGACAGCACTGATTGAAGCGCTGACTTGGCTAATTAGTTCTAATTGAGTCTTTTCCTCATTTGGCTTCCATTCCCTTCTCACCCTCCCATCCTCTCTTCCCCTCTTTCCCCCCCCATCCCCCCAAAAAAAATCTAAAGAAGGAGGGAGAGGGTGAAGGGAAGGCAGCTGGGATCCAAGAGCGGAGAAGGCTGGGGAAGGGAGGAGCTGGGCCCTCGTTCCTACCTGGCACGTTCTCCTTCCCAGGCTGCAGGCTATGGGCCGCTCCTCGGTCTCTTTCCATGGGCATTTCCGACACAGGCTTTCGAGGGGCAGCCCCTCCTCGGGGACCTGGAGATAGCAAAGGCCAAAGAGAAAGGGGTGCTGACCATGACGGCACTGCCTCAACCTTCCTCAGCTCCCAGGAGGCGCCCCAGCCCCACTCACTCTGTCCCACTCGGAGGAGAACCTTCATGCCTCTGGTGAGGCACACGCCGCCCTGCAGGCTCTCCAGGCCTTCCCGGGTCCCATCTGACGTGGCTGGGAGAGAAGACCCACAGGAATGAGCTGGCACTCGGGAGTCTGACCCCAGTTCTGTCTCCATGCCCTGGCCCCACCACCACCCCAGGGCATAAGGGGTCTCTCTTGGCTCTAGTGGTCCCCTCCCTCATCTGCCCTCCATGCCGGGAGCACCTCCCCACTCAACCCTGCCCTCTGCCCAGCAGTACCAATTATGTAGTAATCATGGTGAGAGCGGAACTCGTGGCCCCAGAGGTTAGGGCTATACTCCTGGAACTTGATGGTGAAGCGGAGATCCAGGTCTGGCCGGTCACAAGTGAGAAGGAGGTTTGGGGCAGGGGGTGCCTCACAGCGTCGGCCTTGGGCACCCCCTACCAGATACAGCTTGTAGAACTCATAATTAGGAGAGGAGTGGGGGCCAGGAGGCCGGGCCCGGGGACAAAGCAGGTCTAGCCGGTCCCCAATCTGAGGGTAGAGCACATAACCACCCTCTGCCTGGAACCTATGGGGAGGAGGTTGAGGTGGACAAGGGGGAGAGGTATCAGAGGTCTGGCCCAGAGCTTCGCCTCCCTTGTCCCACATCCCTGCAGGTCAGCCTTTGTCTGAGTAGAACGTCCGTTCTGACCGAGCAGGCACTAAGGACTCTGTGAGCTCACGTTGGAAGCAGCAGGAAGCCAGGCTCAGAGGTCTCCTGCCCCTTGGTTGCCCAAATGCACTCTTCAGCCTGCCCTCACCACATGCACACTGCCATCTCTCCCTTCATCACCAGCTCCGTTGCCCTGGCAACAGGATGCCAGTTACCAAGGAGCTGGCCTCTCTGGAACCACACAGCCCACCCCTCCCAGGTGATTTCACTATTCTATGGCAGTCAACCATGGGGGCAGAGCCTCCCCTCCCCCAAGCCACAACCGAATTTCAGGGATTTCAGAGCAAAAAAGGGTGGGGGGAGAGGGTGATCAAGACTAGTGCCCCAAGTTTACCAGGCAATGTGACAGGAGGCAAATGCCTGGTCTGGCAATGGTCCTAAGTGGGGCTAATGAGAACCAGGGTCGGGGGGAATGAGGGGGGGGCAGCTGCCCAACATTTCCTTGCTCAGCACCTCTCTCCCCTCAGGTCTCAGACTTCCTAGGGAAAGTGCCCCATTGCTTGGGAAATGAAGTTGACTTTTCTAACCACCGCCAACACAAGCCCACATCTCCCTCTGCTCAGGCATCCATTGGCCCAGCACAGCCACCACTAGCCAGCCTGCAGCCCTTCCCTCTTCAGTGATGGCACACAGGTCTCAGAACTGGATCCCAGGGGACTGCTGCTCTGTATTTGACCCACTCGACATCCCAAAGAGCCTCCAAAACACCCCAATTCTCTTTTCTCGACTCTAGTAGAATAAGCCTCATGTCTTCGAGTTGCACCAGATAAGATGCAACTGGGAGTGGACAGGTAAGGGACTGAGTAAAGAAAAGACAGGTGAGAGCCCTGGCCGGGTCAGCTCAAGTTGTTCGCTCAGTTGGTTAGAGCATCATCCAGATTCTCTCCTATCACAGAGAGAGAGAGAGAAAGGACAGCTGAGATTATACCCAAAGAAATGGGAGGGAGGCCAAATAGTGAAATGTGGGAGCCTGTGAATGAAGTACAGAGAGGAAGGCCAATAATCCTAGTTCTCCTTTAATAAGCATATATGTTCCAACCCCTTACCTCTAATCCTCATCCGAGCTGTAAGAATCGAGGATACAAACTCAGAGAGGTTAAGTAAGTGCCCAAGGCCACACAGCTCACAAAATTAAGATTTGATGAGCTCCAAAGCCCACCCTCTTCCCATGGCCTCATGCAGCCTCCCCCAGGGATTTTTTTCAAAACACGGAACTCTTTTGCTAACAGGGAGTGAGATCTACGCAGAGGCAAGAGATCCAGATGACCTCCCAAGGGTTCTACCCTGTGTGGCTTGAAGTTTCATCTGACCCCTGGCCTTTTTTCAGAGCAAAGCAAGCATGCCTTGCAACAGAGCTCTAATGGAAGAGTTTGCAGCAAAGATGGGGGAGGGAGCAATGGGACCTCCTTGGGACCTCAGATGCCAGGGGGCAAAGAAGCGGCCTGAGGGGCTCCAGGCTTCTTTCAGAAGGAAGTCCGGAAGCCAGAACGCAGGAATATCGTCTGGTTGGGAAACTGTTGCACCAAGGGCTAATTGACCGTCTAGCTGTGGGCAAGAGTTGGGAGCCAGACTGTGTGAGGAGAGCCAAGAAGCCTTGGGGAGTTGTCCCCAAACTGAGCCCCCTTCCCTCCCATCTGCACTAGAGTCCCTTCTGGGGAGGGAGGCACCCTGCCTTTCCCTTCAACGCTTCAGCAGCACCTACTCAGCGGCTCTCCTGAGAGCTGACACTAACCAGGCTCCCTCCAAGCCCAGCCCCCGACACCAGGCAAGTCTCCCACAAACCCGCACAACCACTCCACTGCCCTCCCGGCTCCCCATGAACTTTCGGATACTTGCCCTTTTGGGGTCTTTCAAACTCCCAACACCTGGATATCACCACACACCCCCAGCTCTGTGTGCGACCCAGAAGTCTGGCTCCCAAGATCATCAGTCTAGTCACCCATCAGCTTCCAGCAGAGCACCGGCACCCTCCCTCCGCGTCCTCCCAGCTCAGAGAATTCAGCTCCCAAGTCCCCGAGGCTTCCACACTCCCTGCTGGGAAGGTGTAGGGTCTCCCCAGCCCCGGTCGCTCACCTCTTATTCGCCGAATTCCAGTAGACAGGCTCCAGGCTGAGCCCAGACACCAGCCCCCAAAAACCGAGCAGCAGCAGGGCCCCGACTCGCACACCCCCCGGCCTAGAATGGGGGGCCCCCATGACCCCGCCAAGGCCTGGGGGCGGGGCACCAACTCCCCCAAAGTCGATCACTCCCTGGGGTGACTGCCTTAGCTGTCCAAGCTATTCTGCCCCGACCTCCCGGGCGGCCGATACCCCCGCTCCCACGCGGACCCGCTTCCTGCTCTGCCCGCGCCCAGCGCCGGAGCGCTCAGCCCTCGAGAGCCCTTCCAGGGGCGGTCCGCAAGCTCCCTGCGCCCCAACCCCGGCACCAGCACCCCGGGATTGGAGAGCGGGCCTAAGTCGGGGACTGAGGGAGCCAGGCACCCGGCGGTGGTGGCATGGGGCGTCGGACAAGGGAGCGAGGAAGGGGGCGCCGAGCCGGAGCCCCAGCCTCGCCGGGATTGAGGGCAGCGGGCTAAGGGAGGAAACCAGTCCTGAGCCCGGGAGGGGGAGTTAAAGGAGAGACGGGGCGGGGGAGAGGATGGCGGAGGGAAAAACCGGAGCTGGAGCTCGAGGCGGAGCGGGCGGCAGGATCCCGCAGCCCACGCCCCCACACCTCCCTCGGCCAGCGCACCTCCCGCCGCCGCGCCCAGCCCCGCCGCCGCGCTCCCCGGCGCGGTCTCTCACGCCCCCTTTGTCTTTCCGACTCCGGTCTCTGGCTTAGTTTCTGCCCGTCTCCCCTCTGGCCCTCGCATCGCCGGAGCGCGAGGAATCTTCCTCTCTCAGATTCAGAAAGCCTCTCGCCTTCCCCACCCCAGGAACCCAGCCCCTTTCGCTCCCGCAGCCTCCGCCTCCCGCATCCCAAACAACACCGCTGCTCCCGGGAGGTCGGGAGAGAATAACCTTCAAGGCTTCCACTTGACCAAGTGGCCTGAGTGAGCACCACGACCACCTGTGTGAGGTGCGGGGGCAGCGCTAAAGGATCCCCATTGCAGGGATGAAGAAACTGAGGCTCGGGAGGCCCCGGACTAGCCCAAGGTCACCGGGTGTCTAGGAACCAAACCCAAGTTGCTGAACTCCCACCCCTGGGGTCTCTTTTGTCATAGCCTCCAATACCCTTTCCTGTTATCTAGGGGTTGGTGAAAAGCAAGAGATTAGGGGGTAAACGTGGGCCCTCCTTGGACGGTTATGGGGAGACATGGCTGGGAGAGGAAAGGGAGTACCTACAGCCCCACACTCACATTCAGCTGGAAGGGCTGTTTCCAATTATCCTGGGGGAAGGGCGGGGGTTGCCTGCTTGCGTGTAAGAACCCTAGCTTTCAGCACCTCTGGGCAGAGGTGACATTCCTCTCCCCTTGCGAGCGGTTACAGGCCTTCAGTCCCTTCCCTTTGATTTTGGGTCCAAATCAACCCCCTACCGACAGTCCCTTGAGATTCCTACTGACAGTAACCCTTCATAGCTCCTCTTCTCAGTGTTTGGCAAGGTGTGTGTGTGGGGGGGGGGGGGGGCCGCTGCTGCTTGAAATAACATACTGCCCCCCTCAAAGGCAGGCCAGATCAATGGAGAAACAGCAGTAATAACTGCTGAACGAGACTGTCACCCTTGTCCTGCATCTAACGGGAACACAGACTGTGACGTCTGTGTCTCCGAGCACCTGTGCTCTTCTCATGTGTCCTTGGCTCTGGCTACTCAGTCAGGGCCTCCTGGGGGAGTCCAGAGGAGGGTAGGGGGGTGCTTCTGCTCCCCTACTCCCAGAGCTGAGTAATGGTCCCTCTGCTGCTGGATGAGGGTAACTAGTGTTGAGCAAGGGAGAGCGGGTGTCTTGTCTGTCACCAGCTGCACAGTCTCACACAGTCACGCCCAGCAGTCTAACACAGTTCCTGCCACTCCTGCTCAGCCACGCTCACTGTGACCCCTGCCACCCCACCTTGGGAGTGAGATTTCAAACAGGTTCCCCCCCTTCAGTTTATCAAGTTGCCTAGCAACCAACCAGTCAATGGCATGAAGCCCCACCCCCACTACTTGACTTCACACCAAGCTCAGTAGTCCCATTGGCTCCTGCCTAGTACCACCTCTCAGCCCTGGTTTTAGGAACAATATGCCAATCCCCACTGCTGCTGGACTAGGGAGCCCACTAATAACCCTCCCCCCCACCACCACCCTCGCTCCATCATTTGCCTCCCCAAACAGACACAGAGATTCTGGTGTCATATAAAACCTTTTTATATAAACTCACCCCCACCTCTTTTTGTCCCTCCCTGTTCCTTCTCACCCTGTTGGGCATCAGGGACATTGGTGTCTGGGCTCCCCCCACACCACCAGAGCTGTAGCTGACATTCAAGGTGGACGTGGCGCATGGAGAGCAGGGGAAGGTCCACCTCCTGCTCCCCCTCGTCCCCACTCTCCGTGGGCTCTGGAAACACACGCTGACCGGAGGCAGTGGCCAGCAGAGGCAGGCTAGGGTGCAGGCTGGAGGGAGAGACAGGCAGTCTGTCAACCCCCCGAGAGCGGATGCTTGCTCCCTCTGCAATTCACCTCCCTCCCAACCCGAGCCCCAAGATCTGTGGTATGACCTCACTCCATTGGTGCAGTCCTTCTGAGGCAAAAAACTCAGCACAGGTTCCGGTTTCCTCTCATGCCCAGCCTCGCCCGTGTCCCACACAGAGACAGCCCCGCTCGTGCTGCCGCTCACTAGGAACTGGCCAGTCCTGGGGAGAGAGCAGAGGCTTGCTGGCATGGCGTCATCATCCCAGCGCAGGAAGTCCTCACACCCAGGGGCTCGAATCTGGGTTACAGGGGGCACGGGAGTCCTGGGAGGGAAGGACCCACGGTCACTCACGGGTCCAGATCAAAGTAGATGCGCTGATTGGTGGTCACCTCACGATTCAGGGACCACAGTGGATGACCAGGCTGCCGGAGATCCCAGCACAGAAGCTCAGCGTCCTGAAGACATAGAACAGGGGCCTGGAGCCCACCACCCGGACATCTCTGCTTCCCTCAAGCTTTGCAGGCACGCCTTTAGCTTGGGTTGACTTTTTTCTCACACCTATCCCCCAATATCAGCCTACATCCCCACTCCTGCCCACTGCCCTTTGGGATCTCAGGACATGATTCCTACCTTGCGGGCTCCTGAGAAGAAGCGGTTGCCATCGGGGTGAAAGCAGAGGTGGGTGATGCCCCCTCGGTGCCCTCCCAGCAAGGCGAGAAGGGAGCCGTCATCCCAGGCATACAGGCCCAGGGAGCAGCCATAGGAGCCACAGGCATAGAGAGGCTGGGCGGGGTTGAAGGCCATGCAGGAGATGATGCCGCTCTGGCCCTGCTTTTTTGCTAAAGAGGGAGGAACAAAGTGGGGGAGCGAGCAAGGGCACCTGACATTAACCAGGCTCATCAGAGGCGCACCTCTGTCTCCTGTCCCAGAGCCCATGTGCCAGGACTCAGTATCCCCCCTCCATCTGCCACAGCGGGATGAAGACCCCAGATCCTTCGGTTCCCCCCAACCCCCCACAAAGGACCTAAATGCCTAAGACCTACTTCTTCCCTCTCAAATCTGTTTTTCCTGGAAGGAATGGAAAGCTGAAGGCTTGTAGTAAAATAGAACCAGCTTCACCTCCAATTTCCTAACGATACTAAGATTTTGGAGACCAAAAGGTACACAGCCAACAGGAACTGGGCTCAGAGAGCACAAGCCCTTTACCCACCGGTTTGACCAGGGCTGTACGGAGGAGGCTGTGGCACACCCCCCCTCCCCCAACATGTGGTCCCCTGGCTTACACAAGGCCCCTCTGCACACAGCAGTGCCCTTTCCTTGCTTCCCCTCTTGGAAGCACAGATGCTTACCAAACGTGGCTCGGACCTCACAGTCACGGCCGGGCCGGGCCGTGGAAAAGACACGCACAGTCCGGTTGAAGCCACAGAAGAGCTGGGAGCCGTCCGGGGAGAAGCAGAGCGAGTGGGCTGCCGTCAGCTCATCCTGGGAGGAGGAAAGGGCCGGAAACAGGCCTCGTAAAGCAAGTCACCTGTCCTCCGGGAAGGAAAGCTGGGCCAGGACAAGCGAGGCTGGGCGGGAGGTCCCTACCAGGTGGTTGTAGGCGCGAAAGGAAGCCCGGAGCTCTCCAGTGAATGCATCCCAGATGTGAATTGGGTTCTCCCGGCTGCTGCTGGCCACACTGAGAACAACAAGGACACTGAGGCCCTGCTGCTGTCAAAGGAAGGGTGGGAAGCCAACTGACCGGCCCTCTCAGCTCACACCTAGAGGGCACACCAAGCTTTCCTCCTCCCAGAATCCCTGGGCAGCCCTTGACTCTCTCTCAGTAGAGGATCCCCTTGAAACTGCTGGGGGGAGTAGCAGAGGCCAAGGTCATCACTTACTAGGAGGTGTCTGGCTGGCTTGAAGACATCAGAGAATACCAGCAGTAATCGTAGATGGTGTCGCCTTCCACCATCCGAAGGACAGGGACCTGGACGGATGGAATGCCTAGGTCACTGGCAGGGAAGGGAGGCATCTTGGACCTCCAGCAGTTTTACGGCAGAGGGAGACCATGTGTCATCATTTAACCAGGCAGGGGAGGGCAGATGGGGTCAATATGAAGAACAGAATCTTTATGTCAACATTCAAGGTCAGCTCATGCTTTAATGTCAGATTTGGGCCACCAAAAGTCATACACATTTATCCTTTTGCTTTTTAAACACTCAGAGAAGAAAAAAAATAAATAATATCCCAACAAAGAACCAACCAATGATATGCATATTTCTTTTATATTTTTTTATTGATTTCAGAGAGGAAGGAAGAGGGAGAGAGAGATAGAAACATCAATGATGAGAATCATTGATCGGCTGCCTCCTGCATGCCCCGTCCTGGGGATCGAGCCCACAACCAGACATGTGCCCTTGGCCGGACTCGAACCCGGGCCCCTTCAGTTCACAGGCCGATGTTCTATCCACTGAGCCAAACCAACTAGGGCAATGATATACATATTTACTAAGCATCTACTAGGTGCCACTTGAGCCCTTAAGAAATTAAACAGCCCTAGCCAGTTTTGTTCAGTTGGAGAGAGCTTTGGCCCAAGGACTGAAGGGTCCCGGGTCTGATTCTGGTCAAGGGCATGTACCTTGGTTGTAGGCTTGATCCTGGCCCCAGGTCTGGGCTCATGCAGCCGGGCCATTTTTGGGAGGCAACCAATCAATGTGTCTCTCTTTCTGTCTGTCTCTCTGCATCCCTTTCATTCTCTCTAAAAAAATCAATGGGCCTGGCTGATGTAGCTCAGCAGTTGGATGTTGAGCCAAAAACCAAGAGGTCACCTGTTCAATTCCTGGTCAGGGCACATTGCCTGGGTTGCTGGGTTGATTCCTAGTGGGGGTGTATAGGAAACAGCCAACCAATGATGCTCCTCTCTCATTGATGTGTCTATCTCTCTATCCCTCTCCCTCTCTCTCTCTCTAAAAATCAATAAAAACATAGGTTGCTGAAACTGGTTTGGCTCAGTGGATAGAGCGTCGGCCTGCGGACGGAAAGGTCCCGGGTTCGATTCCGGTCAGGGGCATGTGCCTGGGTTGCAGGCACATCCCCAGTGGGAGATGTGCAGGAGGCAGCTGATCAATGTTTCTCTCTCATCGATGTTTCT